TACAACACAATAAAATACATTGAAATACAATAGAACATAATAAATTACCATTAAATACAAAATTCTCCATGTATTCTCAAATGCTCGGAAGATCTGCTCACCTCTGCACATTGGCCTACATTTCGAATTCCTCCAAAGTGGAAGAATACCATCCCAAAATACCAGCAAGTCTTTTCAAAAGCCAGATTTAGCTTCCTTCCGTCTGCAGTTTTAGATGGGCATTATTATGGTGTGCCATATGAAAATCGACTATGCCCTGTAAAATATTTTCTAGCTGATATAAGTAAGTTCAACTCAGAATTAGTGGCCAAGTTTTTTCTATCAGTACAAAGAATGCACAGGATGATCCTTGGCTCTGTTTTATAATATTTGTTTTTAAGACATTACCATGTGATTTATTTAACTGTTTTTAATTGCTTTGGGAATGTTCTGATGAATTTTGTTGGGTCTGTGACCGCGTAATAAAGATTGATTGATTGTTGGAATGCCAAGACAAACACTTGCAGGATTTTGGGAGTGAGAGGGGCAGTTGCTCTTGGCACACATTCCCAGAGCATGCTGATCTGGACTTAGAGGAGGAGGAGTGGGGGCCAATTCCAGATAATGAGTTGAGAGAAGTGGAGCCTTAACTCAAGACCGGACTCCCCAGGTGCTCTGGCAGGCTCTGAGAATAACCTAAATGCACAGCTGAGGGGAGGGGGCTTGGAACAGGGGAGTTTCTGAGAGGCAGATGAAGTGGGGTACAGCTGTCAAGCCCATGATGTGACATCAGGAGAGAAGGGCTACCTAATTAGAGAAAGCATGCTCATTTCCAAAAGGTGTCACCCAAAAGGACAGAGCCCAAATATACTCATAAGGACAGTTCCTAGAAGTAAATACTAGATTAGGTTTAAGAAACTGCTCTGTGCATGCTCTGAGAATCATCCTGGGTGATTGTGCTTTTAGAAAACTCTTTGGTAAATAAAGAACTTTTTGCAAAGAAACCCTCATTCATGACCCAGAAGAAAATACTGCTGCCACAATACTGAACTAGAATTACAGGACTGAAGATGCCAAAGGGTACTTGGAGATCACAAGAGCATAAAAAGGGCCATTTTGGATCTGACCAGCATTCTGCTCAGAGGCCAAGCAGCAGTTCACAGGATACCACAACCAGGAAATGGGGTCAGCAGTGCCCTCCTGCCCAAGTTCCACGACAACTGGAGCATTTAGGCACCATGCCTCTGTCTAGCCCAGCGACAGGCAAAAGAGCACTTACAGGCACCAGGGAGCCCCTGGGCACTTTCCTTGGCTCCCACCAAGGTGCACTAACCCTTCCATTTTTAATTTTTATATTTCGCTTGGATCACATGAGAGCAATGTCTGAATGGATGGAGGACAGCTTTGTGGGTGATGGTGGCAGCTTATCTATAGGAGAGATGTGGGGGACAGGAGGAAATGAAGGGGCAGGGAAAGAAACGGAATCCAGCTTCTGCAAAATATGTTTCTCTTCCCTACCTGGGTCTGATTCCTGTCTGCTCATGCGGCTGCCCTGTGGCATCTGCATGGTGAGTTCTAGTCCTGGGACTGTCAGAGCTACTGCTGACTGTGCTGCTGCGGCCTTGTGCTGCAGGGTGCGTTGGGTGCACATCCCATCCTTGTGAATGCATTGGCTAAACCTCTGAACGTCAATCCCAATGACGTTCCCCTGGGGTCCCTAGGGGGCCGCACCTCTTGCCCCTTTCCCCAGCCACCAACTGTTTGGTGAGGTTTCTTCCCATTCTGAAAGATCTGAATGCCTTTTAACAACTAAGTTGCTAGCAGTAAGAGCTTTCCATGACATACCCTGGCTTTTTTTGCATTTTTGGCCCCAAATGTTTTGCCTTCAACCCTGCCCACCACTGGAGTGTCTCCAAACTGGAATTTAGTCATTAGGCTGAAAGAGGTTTCCCCCCTTTCCTGTATGAAGGACAATGGAAAGGAGATGGTGCACACTTAACTCAGATTTTTTAATGACCTCCATGGATGCATTGAATTCTCAGTTCCCATTTAAACAGGCACTTACCTCAAATCTCCAACATAGTGAGTGGCCCAAGAAAGGCGAACTCGGGAGCGGCTCACCATGTGTACAAAATTGGTGACACCCAAAATGTTCTCTGCTGTCTCGAAGGCGGAGTTTCCTCGGCCTAAGATCAACACAGACTGGCCAACGAAATCTTCCGGGTCAACAGACACAGACTCATAGCCCTCGACGTATTCGGAACCGGGGAAGTTCACTTTGTGGGGAACCCATGTTCCTGTGGCTACCAAAAGTACACTGCAACATATAGTCAAGATTTCAGACATGCTTGCCAAACACATGGAAAGCCAAAAGAGCCATTTCTATTTCCAAAACTATTTGCATGCTGAAATGCTAATCTGAGGTTTACTAAAGCGCAGTTATAGATAAAGCAAGCTGGAACCATCAGTGCTTAGGGTAGTTCAAGGTAGTGTTATCATTTTTGCTCATCAGTTTAATGTGTAAGAAAAGATAGCACATGTGAAGAAGTACCCAGAGCTGAGAAAATGTCACCCCAGTCTATGCAGATAACAAATACATAAATAAAATGAAGGGCAAGCTCTGTGTTGACATTATTAGGAAGCAGACTGGAAATAAAATGGCCAGTATCAGGATGCCTTTTCTAGGCATGCTGTGATTATACTGGAAATGCCGTGAACATTTCTTGTTACTCCCTCCCAAAGAGGGCAATTTTGGAAAGGTGTGGAAAAGATCAGTAAGAACGACCAGGGTGCTGGGAAAAGCTGTATGCTCAGGATGTTTTCATTTAGGGAGACAAACACACACAAATGGGCCACTTGACAGATTTTACAATTGTTGTAATGACTTTAAAAAAGGAGTGCTGCCTACTTATGTGTCCCTGGGCTGTACCAATTCACCCTGCAGGTGGAGCATCTAACATCTGGCTATCCCACCACACGAAAAAGAGCCTCATGTACAAACAAGACTAGCAATTGAGGCAAACAGCTGGTCTGGAACCTGCCCTCTGAAAATCACCTAGCAACATATACATCCAGTTGTCTTCAAGTTACCCAAACAATGGCACTGGCTTTTTCTGACATGAGGAAACGCATGTAACTCTAGCTTGGTCTGCACTTAATGCTAAATGATGGATTGTTGCCCTACCCAGGTAGAAAAATGGACCAAGCATGCTTTCTTTTCTCAGTCCATGCACTGTTTCTTTTCTACTTCCCCTTTGTATCCCACATGGCTTTGTGGTGCTATAGCACTGTCGTGCAGGGTAGATGGGCTTTTTGACAACTGCCATCTGTGCCTCTGCTGCTTCAGAAATTAACAACCTACAGCTCTGGGTCCAGATGTAATGACAGCTGAGGGTACGGTTTACATATAGGTTGCTGAATATTGGATTGTTATGTGTAAACACAAAACCATTGGTTAGTTATGAAAAAAGCACAAAATGACCCAGAAGGAGAATCTATGGTTGTTGAGTTGTGAACTCTGAGTTGTTCCAACTGTGGGTTGTCTTAAGTGTGAACCCTGAACCATGAGTTGCTAATGGGTTCTTTTGCTGGGCTGCATGACCGGTGAGGGAGAGTGCTAACCCCTGCCCAGCTGCTCTACAAAGCAGTACTTGAGGGCCACAAAATAATTTGGGATAAAGAGAGGGAGCAAGCAGAGGTAAACAATGCAAGAACTGAAAAAACAACCTGTGTTTTGGCAATTACCTGGCATATAAATCATGGCTAAATTTTGCATAAGGCAGCAACCTGTTTCCGGATTGTTATGTGTGAACCACAAAATGAGTTCTTCCTGGGTTGTTCATGGTTAACAAGTCATGGTTAGTTAGCACAGCAGTGTTCAGACAACTTGGTCCCCCAACAACATGCACCGGGGGTTGGCATTATATAATGCTATAATGCCATCACATAACAATGAGCAAGAAAGGCTGTAAATTGCTGTTTCACAATCAGAATCAACAGGAACAGTGACATTTGGACACTTTTCTAATTGGCTACCTGCACTTATAGAGCAGAGCATTCTGGTCAACAAGGACGAAGTAATGGCCATTCCATGCCTTGATGTCCTTTTCCAGCATCACATGGGTGATGGATGTGTTATAACGTACCCGGAGGCCTAGAAAGGAAGCAAAATCTGCCAGGTAACGCACCATGGCATCAGCATCTGGGAAAAAGTCCTGGGAATAATGTCGAAAGAGCAGTCGGCTGTCATGACTCAGTAGTGAGTTCCAGTCATGGCGAAGGTTGAACTCACTGTTGGATTTGCCTGTATAACGCTTGTTGACACTAATCAGCTTGCGGTGGCGTGGGTACAAGGCAAAGAAACAGCCTGGTACATGGCCACGTTCAAAGGCCACATAGTCCCGGCCTGCACGTTGAAGGAAATAGGCCATCTGCAAGCCCGAGGGGCCAGCGCCAACAATGCAATAGTCATGGTATGTGAAGTCACTAGACCAGGAAGAGGCCAAGGACAAGGCAATGGTTAGCAGAAGTTCCTGCACACATTTGGAAGGAAATGGCATCATACTAGTAGCAACGAGGTTAAGTCTGTTCAAGGCACTTTTGAGAACCGAGAAAGGGAAAAAAGCCCCAGTTGATAACTTCCAAGCTCGCTTAATTCTGTTGGATGTGGCAGCTACATCACATGTTCAATGTTGTGCTTAACTGGGACAAGGTCTTGCTGGAGCCATGCCTGGAAAATATAAGAGGGAAAGGTTTAGCCAGAGTAGCTTCACCTCACTGCCAAGACCTGCTGCCCAGCAGCTCACTCATGAAAGACATTGCTTGAACCGTCTGGTCCTATTCTGCCTTCCTTGGTTCCCCAAATATTTTGCTTACACTGTTATTGCTCAACCTTTTATTAGCAAGTTTCAAAATAAGGATATAAGGATATATCTGGTAGATGTGAAATTTCTGTGGTTGAGAACATCACACAAAGGCCAGCTCCACATGTTGCAAAACTAGTGGTATCACATACATGATATGCCCAAATGCAGCAGATACATCAGAAGTTTCCTAACACGAAGAGCTGCTCTACTGTGGAACAAGATGCCTTAAGAGGTGATAGGCTCTTCTTTGCTGGAATTTCTAAGCAGGGTCTGGAAGGCCATTTGCCAGGGATACTGTAGCTGCCTCCTGCATTACACATCCTGTACTGAGAAGAGGCTTAGACTAGATGACTGCCAACATCTCCAGCATTATGAATCACTGTGACCCTGTTACCTTGGCCATCTTCACCCTAGGTATTTATTGCCCATTTCTGATTCCACTCTCACAGTAGTTGGTGGGTATTTACATAACCTGAGATCTTCTAGGGCCTCTCTTGTGCCTCTTCCTTGCTTCCCAATCTTCATTTTTTTTAGAGGAAAGAGTAGTATTATTAAAAAATGGCAGAGGGAAAAGCTCACTTTTTTTTCTTTTTCTTTTTTGCAATTCTGCTGTACCTTGTTGTTGAGTCATGGAAAGGCAGCAAAAGAATCCCACTGAGGGGGAAAACATGCATAAAGGAGCTGATCTTGATCCTCAGTAACACTGTGGGTTACATGCCACTTGAATCCTACAGTTTATGCTGATGCCACCTCCATCGGCTTTGTGGTCCACTTGCAACTATGGCTGAGAAAGGAAAAGGTGGCAGGAACAATTCTGTGAGCTGAATAAGCATGGTTAGCCTAACCTAAGAATAACCATGGTTGGCCCAAGGCCAGCCAGTGAGCTTTTACGGCTGAATGGGGATGTGAAACCAGTTCTAGTCCGACCACTGCACCATACTGACATTTTATTCATTTTGGACTCTTTTTCTTGAACTGCCCATAAGTCACACTTGAACAGTGTAAGTTACGTATTATTTCTATACTGGCGAGTAACTGAAGCTCTGTCCAGTCTAAAAGGCATTTAAACCATACTTCAACTCCTACTTAAGCTCACCTATAAAACCATTTAAACCTCACAAACCCTTTGAATGTGCAAATATTAAATCTCAATGCAGAATAGAAAGCAGAGGCAGCCATTTTTAGACAAATCCACATTGTAGTGCAGCATTCTATAACTTGGCACCCTCCAGCAGGGTCAGCACTACAATTCCCAACATACTGGCTGAGAGTGCCATGTTGTGGAAGGCTGAGCTAATCAACTGAAATCTTGCATTTGCACCACAGATGTGGTAGAAGCAAAAAGCCCTCTTACGGTGCAATCCTATGCATGTATAGACAGAGACATTTAGGTAGGCATGGAAATTCTGGGACTTGTAGGGCTTTCCGCCAACTAGTAAGCATAGGATCGCACCCTTAAGTGCCTCTGCAAGAAGAATAAAACAGCTACGAATCCACAGGCCAGTCAGGTAGGGAGAAGGGGCCATGCGTTTTCCTTCAAAGCAGCAAATTCCCCCACCCTCTTCATGTCATATATGAGCGGGAAGGCAAGAGCTGCACTGCTTTCCTCTTTACAAAACGTGCCTAAACGGCTGTAATCAGAAGAGGCTGGGCAGGAACCTGAACTCTGCGCCTTATGATTACCCTGGTGGAGCCTTGCCCAGACCAGCTGCATGCTATTCCGTCCCGGCCCCATGGAAACGGGCAAGCAACTCCTCCTCCTCAGAAGCACCATGGTATTAGCCACGACATCTACGGACACTCTTCCTCCGCCCAATGGGGAAAGGGGCGAGACCGGCAGCTGCGTGACGCGCTGACGTACCTGGAGCGTCCGGCGGCAGCGAGACTTATCAGGTAGGTTTCGGTCTCGTGCGGCTGCCCTGCAGGAGTCGTGGCGCGCGCCAACCCCTTACCATAGAGATGACGCGGCTCCAGGTCCTCCAAAAACAAACGGGCCTAGAAGGAACGCAACGAGATATGACGCAGAGCGGCTCCCTTCCTTCCTCTCCGTTAATTCCGCTTACTCGCTCACCCAGATGATTAGTGTCCTTGGTCTCTCTCGGTCATGTGGTGCCGGCCAAGAGGGGCGGGCGCGCGTGAAGTAAAATGGTGATACCTTTTTTTTGAAAAGAGAGAATAGCCATCTTCCCACAATGTAGAAAGACTACAACAGAGTCCTGTGGCACCTTTAAGACTAACAGTTGTATTGTTCATTTAGTTTATGTTATTTGATCAGTATTAGATCTTCCCTATCTCCGTTCTACCAACCTCACTTATTTCAAGTTATTATAATTTTGGGCGTGATTCTATGAGTATTTAGAATAAAAAGAAGTCCTACAGCTCCCACGATGCTCTAGCTGGCATGGTTGGATGGGACATGCTGAGGGTAGCATGGAATTGTACCCGTGGTGTATGGAACTATAAAAATCAGACTGACTCAGGTTAACTTTTATCTAATCAAGCATTCTGTTTATTGCAGTGGCTAACCTGCTTCCCACAGGAAGCTCTCAGGCAACAGTATCCTCTTGCCCATGTCCCCCAGCTACTGGTGAACCAATGCATACAGTTTGAATGGGGAACAGCACATAGCCATCAGGACTAGTGGCCATCGAGAGCCTTGTCCTCCATGAATTAATCCAGTCCACTTTTAAAACCTTCCAAACTGGTCGACTAAACTACATCTTGTGGAAGTGAATGTCGTAGTTGAATTATGCGCTGTGTAGAACCTATGCGCTGTGTAGAACCTATTTGTTTGCAGCAGTGCTGTTTTAAGGTATTTCCAAGCTTTCACACCACACTACACACCTCTTTACACACATGTATTTATAAAAAGTAAAACTGTGGGCTATAAGTAAACTTTCTATCATTATTAGCACTGTATTACTTTTATTAAGGAAACCCAAACATCAAGAAGGCAGGAAGAAGCTACATTGTACTTCCTTTCCTGTTCACTGGGCCAGGAGAGAAACTGTTGAGGAGGAAGGCCAGGAAGATGGGGGAAGCAATTGAGGGCAGACTGGACTTACCTCCTATCCACAGCTGCTGCTGCTGCTTTGTTGAGATTGCCTGGGCTGAGCACACCACTAAGTGCACACCACTTAGCGGCTTTCCTTACTCAGCACTTGAGATGGCTTGTGCTACTCAAATTCTTACCTCTGCATGTATGCATTAGTAAATACTTTTTAAGACCCCCACACACAAAGCTTCCTCATTGCAGCACTCCTCACCTCCAGACCACCATGCACTGAAGCCACTCCTTCCCCAAGCCCAACAGAACAGTACTGCAAGATTAGTACTCACGGGAATATGTACCATGGGAAAAATTATAATATATAAACTAGTTGTGACATAACTGGTGTGAAGAAATGCACAATATAATGGCAGGATAGTGTGAAGTTGGGGATGTGCTTCATGTGACACGCTGGTTAGCTATGCATTGCAATGATGGTAAAAAGCCCTAGTACGGTATACATTTCCACGCAACACAATGACCACAAAAAAATGTGCAAGCTTCTCATGTTTTCAGATCCCTTCCATCAAGTAAGATCCTACAAAAAGCAGGGTGGTAGGATGAGGATGAGAAAATAAGGCTGACTAGATGTTGCTTTCATGTGGATGTCTGCCCGGTAGGTCAGAATGTTATGATAGAGACTTTATATTCATTTTTGTGACATCTCAACTGATAAAGAAATTTAGAGACCACAAAAGCATACACATTTTTGGTGAACTTTTGAGCTTAAAGGTTAATGCTTTTTGAACTTTTCTTATTATGCATTAGCACAGTATCTGTTATCAACTATTCTCGATGGTTTTCTGGGTTTGGTCAATTTTTCTGGAGTTCATTTAACCAGCTGTGATCATGTGAACTTCAGCCTTCCAAAATGTTCTGCCTCCCAACAGGTTTTGCTGCACAATAATCTAGTCAATTGGCTGGCATTACTCTCATTTGCAGCATAGTTATGCTTATTGTCCAGCTATCAGGCTCAAAAAGTCATTTGGGGCAATTCAGTGAAGAGACAAGCCAATTATTATTGGTGATTAAGGCTGTAATCCTATGCAGATCAAAATGAAGTATGAGTAAAAGCACTAAATTCAGTAATGTGTGCAGAATTAGGCTACAAATCTGTGTTTATATCAGTATTTACAGAAAATGAGGGGTAAGGTTTACTTCCAGTGCTTAAATCCATTGTAAATTGAACACACACCTTGAAAAAAGGCACTAATATAGCTTGCTAATGTTGCTTCATCAACAATTGCCACATCCTCTCAATGTATGGGCTGTTGCTCCTGTGGTGTGTTCATATGCAGGTTTATGCAGAAGTCAGTCCCACTGGGGTTCACATAAGGCTCACAGCAAAGCAAGCACACACAGCATTAAAGCCTTGTAGGTGAACAAGACCAGCTTCCCTCGCCCCTAAAAAAGCAAGGAAGCGCTGTAGCAACCACTGGTGCATTGACTCACTGCTCTGCATTGCTAAAAAGGCAACTCTTATGTGGCAGGTGAAATGGCTGCTTATCATTTTGTGCCACACTTTAGGGATCCAAGATGATAATGAACTAGGATTTGCTGCAGCAGGTAGATAACCTCCTAAAAGAAGAACTCCCCCCTTTTTATACAGAACGCTGTTCCTCGCACATTCTCTCTGCAGCAGTTGCGAAGAAGCAAGTCCACATGGGAATTGTTGGAATATGATTAGAGAAAACCCTGCAGTACCCTCATCTAGCCAGGTCTGTTTGCCAAGTCCATTAATGAGCATCATACAGAGGTTCAAGCAATCACCCCTCTGGCACTGCAGCACAAACATTCATTTAATTGGCAGGGATCTGGTACATGGCTTCAATCCAAGGCATGCTTTTAGCCATGAAAGATTACAAATAGCTTCGATTAAAGTACTACTCATGGTAATAGCTTTTAGCAGCCTTTTTACAATAAGGGAAGCATTGCATTCTTGGTTTGTCTTTGAATTTGCAATTTCAGAAGAGAGGGGAACAAGTATAATCCCTTCTAAAATGCATAAAGCACCAAGCAGCCACTAGTAGTACAAATTATTATTTCTGGAATGGCATTAGTGTGGATGCTACTGAAAAAATAGGATTTCCCTCATCATGCATTGCACTAACAGCCTATTGTTCATAAGATTCCAGTGCAGGTAGTCATAATTTTCTTGGTATTATTCCAGCCTGATCACAACCCAGACTGGGTCATGAAAATTCCCTCAATAGTCCTAATACTTGTCCAATTTTCTTATGCCATCAAGAGATTAAAAAGACACTCTTATACTACCACTTTACAACATGTGAACGAATTACAAATATAAGTTGCACGTGGTCAAGAACTGAAAGTCAATATACATGTGGAAAAGAACACATTCTTTGTGTTTCTTCCTTGTGCATCTGTGTGTCTCTTTCCTCAACAGAAAACAAGCATGACAGAATTATTCTAACCTAGCTTCCTCAATAACAAGGAAGCATTCGAAGATGTGATTACACACCTGTAGTATAACATGATACACCCACAGAAAGCTATGACAGTTGATTCCGCTGCCCATTAACCCTAAAATGGACAGGACTGATCAGATAATTGCAATATTTTTCTACTGAAGAGTCTTTTCCTAAGACTTACTAAATTAACTATTACACCTATCAATCATACTACACATATTTAGCAATTTAGACAGAACAGGAATCTCATCAAGATTTTATTTTAATTCCTTAGGGTCTAAGCAAATGAAGTGCAGATTCAGCTTTGATCCGTCATGAAGAATACAAAACTTGAACGTGCCTTCAAAGAGTTGCTGCTGCTTTTGGCTGAAATGTTCAGCTCTCTTCCTCTGCAACACAAAGAGAAATTGAAATAAGAGCATTTCTTTCCATCCTGAGGCAAGCCACCAAGAGAAATAACACTGAAGAATTAACACAGCTATAAACTTTGGTCATTCTCACAATGCCAAAAGTTGGTTTATGTACAGTCAAACAGTAACTTTCTGCATAGCAGGACATCCTTTTTAGTAGGCTGGAACCAGACAGTTGGCAATCTACATTCTCACTACAACAGTATTACTGAACTACAATTGTTTGGGAAGAAAAATCTTAAAAATTTGACAAGCTATAATGAGGTGTATGTACAGCTAGTCAGAAAATAAACAGGTTAAATCCTTGTAAACATTCACAGTATAGTGTAATTCTCCAAATACTGGACCAATGTTAACTAGATCCCATACTGAACTTCTTTCCAGAGTCACACGGTCCCTTTTGCCCTAGCTACTACTGTACATGCAGTCTGCTATTGCTAATGTTCGTCTTGGTCAAGATCTTAACTGACTTTATAGTTATGGTCTTGACTGATCTCTCTGAACTGTATCTTTATCAGACGGTTTAGTACATTTGCTCCTCTAGATAACAAAAGAACACAAGCTAGTCTGACAGAACAGCTTTGGTACCTGTCAGACTAGAACCTCAGTCTCATGTATTAACATTGCTAGTAGGCTCCTGATAGTTTGTTACCTTCCTCCTCCTCCTCCTCCTCCTCCTCATCCTCATCTTCATCAGAGCTGAAAGTGCCATCGGGCAGGCTGTAAACACGGATGACCTGCTTGTTGGGATCTTTCAAGATGAGGTACTTGCCCTCATCCAGTTTCATGCAGATGTCAATTACACATCGCAGGATACCCCAGGCATTCTCCATGCTTAAATTAATTTGGCTGGCAAATTCATTGGGTTTAAACTGCTGTGTGCCCAGAATCACATGGCGTGAAGAGTCTTTCACATGGTATCGGGACACATACCTAGCAAGGATGGAAAAACAAGAGTGAGGAATATAATGACATGGTCTATAGCAGGGTGATATAAAAGACATGGCTACTAATCATAAAGTCCTGGCTTGACCTTTGGGCTTAGGTCACTCTGCCTCAGACAGAGGTTGGCATAATAACACTGACTTATTATACAGGTTTTATATTTCTGCAAGGAACTCAAACACGCAGAGCAAGGAACATGCAGCTAGAAAAGGACTTACTTCCTCAATGCCATTTGTTGTTATGGCTGGTTTGGTCCAATTTTTTTAGGACAGCAGTATACTGGGGAAAAGGGAACACCTTGCATTTATTCTGCAAGAAAGACTTGGTTTAAACTGCCAGGTTTTTTCTTTTCCTCCTTGAGAAATGAAATGCAAGATAAGCCGATTAAGAGCTGAATAGGTATTCCCTATATCTGTTTTGCCATGAGATATAGGGAAGCAGCACAGTCAAATCCTGTGGCTTTGCTGAGTAATCTTTACCACTGGGGCCTGGAATTCTGTGCTATATATGCTTGGATAATGACAGTCCTTCCCATCTCAGATAAAAAGAATTATTCTTTAAGAAATGGATTTGATATTAAAAGGAAATGATCTTTGCTTACTCACTGAGGAAAACTGGATTCATTATTATTTGGGAAGATAAAGAAGCAGAGAGAGAAATAGCCAATTAAGAGTATAGAAAAGTTGGGGAATTAAAAGAATAGATATGAGAGAGAAGAACAAAGAATATGTGCTGTCTACTACTAATGCTGCTGCTTCCTCCCGCTCCCTTCTCCTGACTTCAACTTTTACATGTTTTCCTTGGTCCTAAGTCTCGTAATTCACTCCAGGTCCTGAGAAATTGCTATTCGTTCTATGAAAGCATCCCTCTCTCTCAAGATTTCCGCTTGCAATTTGCAGAGTTAAATCTATTTTTAATCTGTTGAAACAGCTGAAATTTTGAATGAGTTGACATTAAAGTTGAGAAGAAATAATTGGGAGTACAAAGCAAGAATTGCTAATGTCACTGTTTTGTATTGCCATTGCACTGTTCTGTTTCTTCTGTTAATTTCCATACTTTAGTAATTTTATAATTTAATCATTCCACATTTTCCTTTTCAAACGTTATCTATTTCATTTACTCTCATGAGTAGAGGCATACACAGTTTGTCTGCCATGACTTTCTAAAATATGTTTGTCAAGCTTATTTTAGTTATGGTCTGATGCATAATCTCCTTCAAGATCACAGGAGGAAACTATTTCAGAGTCAAATAAGAGCCTAGATTTCAATTACCACCAGTATACTACAATATGTTAAACTAAAACTAAGTAACATTCAGAAGATCTGTGACCCAGTTGACATATAGCTAGCGTTTGCTGTGTAAATTGAGACAGAGACCAAGATTTATAATGTGGCAATGTATATTAGCATAGCAGAAAAACTTAAAACTGGATTTTGTAACAAATACACTTTGATGTCCTTGAAGAACTTATCTCCAGTTATACAGGCTTGGTAGTATTTTATTATTGGCTTGTCATGAGCATTTCTTATGTGTGTTATGTATCAGGGCTGTCAAAGCAGTAATAAACTACTGGTCTGACAAGCAATGGAGAGTTCTAATGCTCTGGTTCCGAATGTCAGCTCAGGTAGCCTCAAGTTCATTAAATGGTATCAGGATCCAAGTAAAGTTCCCAGGTATCCTTAACAAAACATGTTCTAGTAATGATGCTTGCTCAAAATAAAAAGGAAACAAACAACATATTGAATGATCACAATGAGCAAATATGTTTCTCTTGCTCAAAGCGGCTCCATTACAGGCAGACTTAGCAAAAAAAGAACAAAAGAATTAAGGTCTGAAGTACCGCACATCAACCACATGAAGTTCTTCCTCAAGGTCTACTCACTTGCTACCTCTAGTTCCACATTTTAGAATTCAGGTGCTTACTTGGAGAAATGTGCCAGACTAGCTGCTGTAATTCTAACCCTACTCCAAAAGACCTGGTTTCCCTCATGTGGGCATCCTTGTCTCTTCTTGCAGAAAAAAATCCCCAAAACACAAAAACAAACAAAAACTACTTGGACTCACCCCAGCTTAAGATATTCTGATCCAGCAAGCAGTGCACAACATGTCCAACGGGCAAGTTTGTAGCTGTTGTTTTTCAGTTCGGTGGCAATCACAGCACCTCTCTGGGAGTCCAGTTTTTGACGCCAGTCTACGCCATTACAATGCTAGAAAAGGGGATCAGTAAATTAAGAGTCTTACACAGCAGCAGTTATGCCATACTATACCAATTTATGATCTGGACACAATTTCTTACTACTATACTTGTTTCACAATGACTTGCAATGCTAGAAAGGAAGATTCCACCTTTATACCTACTAATATGAGAGGCATTCAAAGAAGTGAGGATCTGGGAATCTTCCTTCATCACTTGACATGGAAGAGAAAAACCAGTCATTTAACTGGCTCTCTTGCAGTAAATTGAAAATGGGAGAGAAAATCCATGTATTCTGAGCAAGTCAGAGTCAAGACAAAAAGTGCAAATGAATAACATGCAGCCCAAAGATTCTAGGAATCCTTTTTTGAATGCAGAAGTGGCATGGCATGCACATAAACTGCTTTCTCCATTTTAACTTAACAGCCAACAAGGCACAAAAATTTTAACTTTGTTCTTTGGTCTTTCTTACCCTTGAATCCCATTCATTCAGTGTTTTAATGTTGATAAAAGATACTTCTCCATTGGCTCCAGTCATTACTCCATCATGTTCACAGCGTACTATCAGGTCTATGTCATCACCAAGTTTCCACCTTCGGTATCTACAACCAAAAATGCTAGTCACCAACCTTACCATTAGTGATTTGCTTGAACTTAATCCAAATATGATGGCAGCCTACACAAGTAGTAACAATGAGTCTTCATAGAAGCTGTAACAAATCTGGAAGTCAACCATGAGTCAACATGGCCTCTCAAGACCTATCTATGTGCTACAAACAACAACATACCGGTAAGCAACAGAAGCCACCTCATTCTTATCCATATCATCTTCCACAAATGGATTTGGATTGGGAAATGTGTATTTTTCTTTTCCCTGTAGAAGATGACCAGCAAAATATTTTACCAATAGCATCAAGTAATATGGTCAGGCCTCAGAAAAGAGCCTTTCCAGTGGCCCAGCTTTCTAGTCACTTTTTCCCCACCAACGCTTTCACCCAAATCTTTGTAATCCGTTTCTGTGGTGCTATCATGTTGACTAGTAACATGTTTCCCAAATAACTAAGCCCATTGCCTTTTTGCCATTACCATTCTCAGGCACTGCTGAGAGAAGTTGTGGTTGATGTAGGTGGCTTCCATAGCAAGGTTGCGGGGTGAATTGAAGGAATTGCCCTCATCCTGCGGTGGTTCATTTGCAGTCTCACTCACTGTCAGGAGATCTGAGGATAAAGCCAAGCACAAATGATAAAGCAGAGAGGCAGTGACACTGGACAGCATGACAGTTTGATTTTTCACAGGTATTACTTGTTCCTCCCAGGGAGGAACTACATAACTGAACAATTTCCAGCTACCCCTTATCACCTTGTTCTGCACTGCATGCAGGGAAAACTCACCGAAGTCAGAGTTGTCCCTTTTGTCAAAGAAGAGCTTGGATCCAACTCTTTGGACAATGATATCCCAGGAATAAACAGAACGGGTGCAAGACATGAGAGTAGCTAGGATCGCATCTGTAGCAAATACATTCCCTTGAGTCTTCGCCAGCTATGCAAAGAGAAAAGTCATATGGATGAGAATAAGCACTGTTGCTGAAAAAACAAAACAGAAAGCCCAGTGGTTCCAATGCTCCTGCTATAGGATAAATGAAAGAGGTGGATTAGATATTATACCTTACGAATTACTGGATCATCAGTGGTAGTTACGGTATGGAAGATACGTTTGATACTACGAAGGGACTTTTCATTTCTTGTGGTGATGCGGTCAAAGGCTTTATCATAGTATTCCAGGGCCCCACAGCACTCTCTGCAGGAACAAAGAAATGATGCTCATGAAATGTTCTCGCTAGAAGAGTCACGGGACAGTAAAAAGTGGCCAAACCAATCCAGAAATATACATAGATCATGACTATGAGAACTGACAATCAGAGCAGCATAAAGATTGAAGTGCTGGACTGGTATTTGGGTTCTAGTCCCTACTGGGTGACTTTGAGCCAGTCACCCACTCTCAGCCTAACCTACCTCATTGGAATGTTGTGAAGATAAGATGAAGAGAAAGAAGATTATGTAAGACACCTTGGTTTCCTTCCAGGAAAAGAGGAGGGATAAAAGTATAATAAATATATACATAAATAAATTTAATGGTTTCTTTGCCTCTCTTCTGCCTTTAACCAACCCAGAGCTGAGGGACAAGCTTCAGCCACTAAGCAGTTAACTGCATTTTAGAAAATGCCAATCACAGAAATTGGGCTTTAGGTTGGATTAACCAAGAACCTTCATTTCCTATAATCTAGCCATGTAATTTGTGTTCATAGCTCAGATACATAAAATAGATAAAAGCCACTGAATGTCAAGCTGTTAGTACTTCAAACATACATAAGGTTATATTGTCTGGCAGGAGGTGTGACTGCTGTTGATTCTAGTTAGGCATGCTCAGAATCAGATCAGAGATCAGTTTGTCTTGATCAAGAAACAAGAACATTAGTTAAAGCACTGTGGAACACGTGAAAAAAAGCCACAAGTCACATGTTGCTGAACTCAAATTTTCAGTCTTCTCAAGGACTTACATGTCTTGAGGTTCTGACACCTCCAGATATCTCATCTTCATCAGCCTAGGAAAATCCATCTCTTCCTTCACCTCCCAGTCACTGCGAACTTCCACAGAGGAGTCACGAGGCTTCTGTTGTGCAGACCAAGAAAGTACAGGCAAATGGAAGAAAGGGTAGAGACAGCATAGTGTCATTTAAAGTGGGACCTGTCTAATTTAGTCCCAGTAACAATCTAGGAAAAATCTTACCTTCTAAGAAAGTGGGTTACTTTACCTGAGATTTTTGATCCCATTTTTGTCTTACTCCAAATTGCTTTTGAAACTTCTTTTGCAGGCGCAGTCTATCCCTGAAGTGACATAAAAACAATAATTCCATGAAGACAAATGGGGCTGTTCATCCCAAAGGAATAAAGAAACCTAAGTGGCTAAGTACAAAGGAATTTTTGCTAAACTTCTGGGGACCCCAGAGAACTGTGAGGAAATGTATTACTTCACTCAAGAATCAAAAACTTTAATATAGCTACTTAAAATCTACAGCATAATTTCTAAGACCAGAGCACCACTTGGTGGAATGGCTAGAAAGAAATTTAACAAATCAAATCAAATATTCACTTTAAGAATATTTCATTTATACTTTGTTGTAAACTGCTTAGAGTGCTTTGGCTACAGGTGGCATAGAAATTAAATGAATATTAACACGATTATATGTTTCCCTAGACAGCATCAGGAAGGCAGCTTCTTTGGATTCCCAGATCTGAGGTAGGAAACAGCATTCCAACCTTGAAGTCTGGATTCCATATTCTGATTTCCACTTTTCAAACACACACACACAGAGCTGGAGAAGAGCAAGCTATGCTGGCTGCTTCTCTGAAGCTGGAAAATTGATGCTGGAGATGGGGTAAATGTGGGGGTTCAGGGAGAACACTGGGACTGGCAAGACCTAAGGAAACCTGGTGGAACTCCAGCTTCCTTCCTTTCCTGTTTGACGCACCATAGCCTGATGGCTTAAATCAGCTGCCTAGGTGACTGAAAGAGTGGGAGGAGTGGGGAGGTGGAGAGTGCCACCACTGTTCCCCTAGCTCTGTGGAGGATGCTTGCAAGACTTCAAGTCTGAAGGCTTCTAAGCGTGAAGGACACAAACCACATGGTTGCACCCTTATAGTATTTAAGTGATTTAAATATAATATTTTAAACACAAAGAAAATTATCCCTGACCTTTGGTCTGGTTTTGGAACCCTATCATAATCCATTCAGCAGTCATACAAATGCAGATGTCGCACAACACAGCTCAATGAACTGTTTTTTCTTTTTTTCCCCTCTTTTCGAAAGTCTGTTTACACTAGCTCTGCTGGACAATACTAGAGCTGAATTCTTCCAAGTACCTCTCCTTCTGCTTGGCACTTTTAGGCAGCGTCTGCATGTTGAACTGAAGGATATTTCGACGGTCCTTGTCCCTCCGAAGGTTCCTCTGAAAGGAAACATTCATTTCAATAAGACTGCATGGCACAATTCACTGAGGAATCACCCCTTGGAATGAAAGCCCCTCTCCAGGCCACACTGCAAGCCATTTCTGCCCACTGTTCATGGTTGTGCATGGAATATGCAAGCAAAAGTGTAATTAATAATTTGCAAAGTAAAACTGAGGAAAAACAGCATGCAATAACTATACACTTCTAATTCCATAAAAGAACGGACACAGAATGACTTCATCTAACAACCACATGTTTGAAAAAGTTATTCTCAATAATATTGTGGGATTATTCCACAAACCCCAGAAAGATTGCCTATTAAGGATACAGAGCTACCTGCATGAGTCCAGCGCCTAACAGCTTAATATATAAAACTTCACTAGCTCTTGGGACTCAAATCTAAGCTCATAAATAGGACCACACCATACCTGGGCAAACCTCATGCGATTTCTCTGGTACGCAGTCTTTTGTGTACGTGCTGTGTCTACCAGCTGGAAACTGGCCTCATCTTCCTCATGGAAATATGCATATTGGCTTCCTCCACCAAACTGGGATGAATATTTATCTAGAAAATACAATGGTCTCTCATCACCTTAGTGCTCAAGACTGTGATTTCCTAGAACACACAGGACAGAAATAATCTTCCTAAACTTATAAATAGGAACTGCAGGAGAATACTTGTTGAGTAACTGGTAAGAACAAGAGATGTAATACAAGTGTGCCTTTCTGAAGTATCATGACTGATCACAACTTTCTCTTTTTTTTTTTTTTTTCCTCATGGAAAAGGAAAGGAATTTCTACTACTAATGTGATTAGTGCTGATGAGATGTGCCCTAGTTTTTTGCTTACCTGAAGCATACTTACATGACTGCATCACTGTTTGCATGACCAAAATCAACCATAATATTTCATTCAGACAGCAGAAACTCGCTAAACAAGATCTAGTATTACTGTTCTAAGCACTTCAGCAGAAGGGCACAATTGTAGAAAAGCTTTTATTTAATATTCTCTTGTAGTGATGGAAGACAACAAGTAATTCCAAGCAAAGAATGTCAAAGAAGAGCAATCACATCTTACTTGTGTATCGCTTATCCTGGTAAGTAGCTCCTGTCCAGTCTGCAACCTAGTTAAAATAAAAAAATATGAATAGGGTTAAGCTAATGCACGTAATAAAACCATGTGGCGGTTTCTAGGCAGTCTCTAAAACTGCCTCTCAATCAAGCTAGACTTCCCTCTGTCAGAATTTCAAAATTAAGATCTTTCTCTGACAGAAGTAGAACCAGTGTACCCGTTATCCTAGCCAGTATACTGCTCAAGATGGCACTTCCATACCAATCCACAGAAAGTAGCTGTAACAAGCAGCAGAAGAGCCTATTGTATAGATTCATGGATTCACATATTATTTTCCATGTCTTTGCTAAACAGTCCTGGTGACTGAAAGAGACCCTGCATGTGATAACAGCAATGCACATATGTTACATCTGAAGGCTGGAAATCCACTAAAGGAGGATTGTTTTCTGTGAAACCTTTGTGGTACATAACATGCATAACACCACTTACATTGCCATAAAGTCTGAAAGGTGTAGGATTAGATAAGGTCCTGCCTTCAGGTATGTGCCCAATTAATACTGTAGATCTTTAAATTCATTATGTCAGAGCTTGTTGCCAATTCAGTGTGCAGATTCCTTAACTAGAGCAGGTTGCTTGTCTGCACAACTGTGTGTGGAGGGGAGTGGGCACATACACAATCCTATGCCCCCAACATCCCACTAGTGCCCAGCAACCAGTCAGACCTTTACATGTTAAGCCCAAAAAACTGCAAAAGTCTGTGTAAGTGCATCCAGCTGAATACACTGAATACACATTGCGAACCCACGATCACAATGTTTGCTTGATCAACATTTCTGTTCACAAGTATTCTCAGTGTATGTTCAACTGAACACAGAGCTCTTGACAGACCTTCATGCTTACAGGTGAAAGTCTAAATAGTATCTGAGCATATGGTCTCACTGGGGGCTTCTGGCCCGTGTGCAAGCCAGTAAATGCTTACAGAGGGCTCAGATCATTCAGTATGAGCCAGATTAGCAACAAAAGCTAATTTAAAAATGACATTTCACATCCTTAAATGTTGTTATGTGGCTTGGGTCAATATCAGCAGTCTTTGCACTGCAGAAACTGGGTGCAGCCTCCTAAGCATCAAAGAAGCTGTCAAGAAGGCAGCCTTGGACAGAAAAGTGTCAAACAGGGCTGTGAAAGGGAATACACTAACCACAAATACTAGAATCCATTAATACAAATATTTATGCAAGGATATGTTGAGAAATACCTTGCCAAGCCGATCTCCTTTGCTGAAGGGCTGATAAGGCATATCTTTGAACTGCTCAGGAACAGCACATGGACCCCAGCCTGAGGGATTGTCCTGGATAACAGGTGTTATGAACCTTGCCATCTTCTATAATTCTAGTGAATGAATGAAGACAATATGATCATCAAGCAACTATAAAACAATAATGCATGTTCAAACAGTAGCTAATACTTGTGTTTTAGGTGGGCAATGATTTTTAAAAACCAAGTGACACTAGAGCAAAGTCATTTAAGGGAATGGCCAAACCTTAAATCTTCATATTCATATTGTTGAAATGACTTGACACAGAAAAGTGGGGAATGAAGATCAGAAAATGGAATAATCCATCCACTCCTTGTTCAGATACAGAAAATGCAGTTCTTGAGACAGTCCAGTATAATCAGCTAACATCTTTTAGATTCCCAGGAATCTCTGTTTAATTTAGTCTAGGTTTCTAGCCCTGAAGAACATGTTGAAAATGGTAGTGTATCATGAGACAGAGACCACATAAGACACCAAAATTAATGTTTAAAGATTTGTAATTTGGCAACACTACCTTTAAGGTGATACCCCACAGTTTTTGGTTTTTAAAATATGCACTACAAAACCAGTTCAACAAAACTTAGCACATACTCATCTTATAATGTTGCTCTCAGTTTGCCAATGTGTACAAGTTAACCTTACTGTAAAATGGAAAGAATGCTCTATTCCTACAGCTCCTGGTGATTCCAATACGTCCTTGATGTTTAACACTCCTGTTTCCCTCCTGTATAGTAGTGGACCATTATAATTATAAAGTAGTAAACTTCAGGAGGCATAACTTTTTCCCAGGAAAACTTTATTAATGGACTATGGACCAGTGACTAAAATATCTGGAGTTTTCAAGTGTTTGAAACAAAGACGATCAAAAATGTATAGCTGAATATGCAAACAATAAACCAAATATTTTGCATTAGAGACCTCTTATTTCCCAAATACTCTCCTTTAGTTTACCCTTATGAACTGTACCTAATTAAACACAATTATTTTGTGAGATCTGATCAGTTTTCATCTTTGAACATAAGAACAAGAAATTTAGGATTTGCTACTATTATCTATGAAAACTGCTAGCAAGGCTGAACAGCTGCTAGAATTCTATAAAGTCAGCACTTTAACTTAAAAACACCCACTCAACATCCCCAGTCCACATCCTTGTTTCAGATGTGGATGCCTTGCATTTAATTAATAGCTTTATGCAGAAACTGCATACAGGATACATGGAATTCCATGCAGGTGACTGGTTTAATGGAGGCAGTATAATGCTCTCATTCCATCTGCTGCCAGACTCCAGCAGGATAGTACTTTTTTGTTTTATTTCGGCAGGCTTTATGTTGGTTTAGAAGGATGACTGGCTAATACTGAGAACCAGTGTGGTAAAGTTGCCAGAGTGATAGATTAAGCCAATACAAGTTCTAATTTCCACTTGCCCATGAACCTCATTGAATGACTTTGGGCCAGTCTAGAAATTAAATAAAGTGGAGAAGAGAAGGATCATAACAAGTTGCCTAAAGTTCTCTAGAAGAAAAAAAGCAGATATAAATCCTCCCTCCCTCACACAGCCTTCTTCTAGGCAGGGTCCTCCATGGATTAATAAACATCTGCAATCAATACAAGCCCAGTCTACACATTAAACAACAGTGAAACAACGTGGAGAGAAATGTTCTTTAAAAAAAAATTCAAATAATATCAATTGTAGACAGGTACGCTTCTAGTTGTTCTGAAGTGCTACGAACATATCCTACTCTTGTCTCTCACTTCCGGCGCTATTCGAGAAAGAGCAGGAGGGTGCGTTTGTGTGATGGAGAAAGAGAATGGGGGCGTGGGGAGAACCAGATCTAACGACCATTGTCAGATTAGTCTTGAACAAAGAAAACTATCTTGGAAAATTAGCACTAAGATCACAGGGCTTTTACAACATATTTAGTGACGTTGAGAGACATGGCGGTCAGTAAATAGGCCCTTGCGGTGAGTCTAAGCGTCTGAATGGGACAACGCGTCCACGGGACACCAAAAAAAGGACAAAGCAGTCAATGGATTGAGTGCAGCGTAAGGTTGAGGGGCCAAGTGAGAGGTCGCAGGAGACCCCCTCACCTGAAAGGCGGCGGGGCCGTTCCGGACACGCCCCACGTGTAGCCACGGCACAGCTCATCCAGATGAACGAGGGAGAAACAGGCCGGCGTCCCTAAACTGGGGAAGGGCAGAAGGTCGGCCCCAGGCTTCTCTCTCACCTGTACGCCCTAAGCGGGCCCCGATGGCGGCAGATTCGGCCCAAGGGGAGCAGGTAACGAGAAGCGGCCTTCACAGACACATCAGTCTGGAGTCAACCCCACTTCCGGCCCGGCTTTCACAGCGATGGCGTCATTATGCCGCGACTCCAGAACTGTCGTAAAAGATGCGTTTCGGCAGTGACACGTAGAGGAGTTAGAAGCTCTTAAAGAAAATTAGTAGTATTCTTTATACACTTAATTGTATGCTTACACTGGAGTAAGTCTGAACTCTGCAGGGCTTATTTCCCACATAAGTAGTGAAGAGCTCTTGTCGTGCCTTAAAAACAAGCGCGCAATCGTATCCATGTTTGGAAGGAAAAAAGTTCTACAATTCCCAGTTTTATCTAGCCCGTTTTGTTTGCTGCGAATGCTGGGAGTTGTAGGATTTTGGGATGTATAACACCTAGGATTGCATCCTTCGATATCTACACTGATGCAAACTTTTATGAACTAGAGTCCACTTGATTTTCATTAGATTAAAAACGCAATCCTAGTTATGTCTCATCAGAAGTACGCCCTACTGAGATCAGTGGGGTTTATTCCCAGGTAAGTACATAGGATTGCAAGCAGTACCAACTGCTATTAATTCTATTAAACAGGGATGATTTTCCTGTCTGAATAAAATACAGTTTTTCCTTCCAGGGTTGGATGGTGGCAAGTTTGCCTGGGCATCAAGTGTCCTCCTTTCCCCCAATGGTAGTACCAAGAGAAGTACCTGCCTTTTCTATTTTAATTTGGGTTTGTTTTAATCCAGTTTTTGAACAAGCATGCTATCCTCTGTGCATGCTAGTCAATGGAACACAAAGCTTGTTCCATGTTGGTTAGAACTTAACTCCGCTTTAGCCTCACTTCAGACTTGCCATATTGATAATAGAAACCCCTACGCCTACGGGATTATTGTAAACTCTTAAAATCCAGACCATCTTACATCGTACATGGTACTAGCAACTCTTACACAGTACTAGCTACTCTTTCGGCCTCAGTCTGATCCTCAGCTTGCATTGGTAGTGTGGCGGGTTGGCTGGACCAGCCAGTCAACCTCGGCAAGCGGCGCGAGAAAGTTTAAAGAAAGAAAAAAAAAAGACTGCAGTCCAGAAATCAGTTACAAAGCATGCTCGGTTAAGTTGCAGGGGGAGAACAGCAAAAACTTCTTCCCCCAAGGTTTTTTCTTCTTCTCTCTTTTCTCCTTCACCACCGGCATCTGCTTTTATTACTTCACACTTTTTACCTAGGCATTTGAATACAGCCAATTAGCCATTGTATACAAGCAGCCAACACCTTAATGCTTAGGTTACAAGCCTTATATGGTTACAAGCCTTATATAGTTACAAGCCTTATATGGTTACATAGGTAAATTACAATACTCTTGGTCTTCGTGTGGTACGTGAGTACAGCATGACCCAGCAATGAATTCCCACAGGTAGCACTTAAAAACAAACCCCATCGAGTTAAAATGACATGTACTCTTTTCTTCACAGCTTTAATTGGATTGATGGAGTGCACGCACGGTGGTGTTCAGTCGCAATTACATAAAAGTCTGGCATTATTCCAAACTCTTCTAGGAAGGCACCTGTTAAGGATTAACTGGGAGATACATAGTAATGTCAAGGGAAACTAGAATATCACTTGTTTAAAGAAAAGGATTTTACGTATCCACGAGCACGACCAATGCATAGACAGTTTCACTTTCGTTCGTAAGAAACGGAATCATATTAAACCTTCCCAGTCATGGAGTTATCGTGGCTCTTGAGCTTGCTGATCCTCTTGCTGCTACTCGTCAATTTAGTTTTAATTTATCTCCTCATATGGGGGACTCCTCGACTGACAAGCGGGCGCTCCGCGCGAAATGAACGAGCCGCCGAGACCTCGACTTCGCGGGGGGAACTCGCCCTGATCGCGGAGGAAAAAGCTACAGGAGCCGAGCATGGTAGGATGCTGCTCACCCCCTCCCTTGGGGAAACGGAGCAGGAGAAAAGAGATGTTTCCCTAAGCTGGAGCAAAAGCAGGAGAAAGCTGTTCTGTACAGGCTTCCTAACTTATTTGTGGAGTTTTATTAGGCGGTGTTGGGGGCGGGGGCGAACGTCAGACGAAATCATCTTTTATCTTCAACCGCCTGGATTTGTTCAGCGCTTCCTTTTTGCTCTTGGGGCAACAGATCAGTTAATGCAGGATCCTTCTCCTGTCTGCTGCCCTCCAGACCTGTTGCACTGCCGGTCCCACAATTTTTAGCCACCATGTCATTTGCTTGGCATGGTGGTTGAGTGGCCCAAGGGCAGCCAGATGATCTTATGACTGGCCTAAGGGCAGCCAGTGAGAACTTTATGGCTGAACGGGGATTGGAAACTGCTGAGCTTTAGAAACCACACACTGAATTATACTTTTTTTTTTTTTTTTTTTGGTGGGGGGGGAATAGATGCGGAGAAGAAGAGAACCAAGAAGGAACAAGTTGGTGTAAATTGTACCATCTTTCTAGACACATTTCCTGCCAAGAAAGAAATAATTCAACAGTGCATTTCAAGCCTTCGGGAAATGGCAGACTGCATTGATGAGACCCATAAAAACTGTGCCATTGCCACTGTTGCTGTGAACATTACAAGCACTTCATCTGAGATCTTGAAAATGGTGTCCCAGTTCTTGGCCCCTTCCTCAGCAACTGGGAGTTTACACACAGCTATCGCTGGGATTAGTTTAGAGATGGTTGCCAAAATTACAGATGTTTCTACTGCTCTATTTAAAAGTGATTATGATTCCAAGAAAAAGAAAAATGTGGAAGATAAGATGAAGGAAGTTGACATGGCCTTAAGAACACTGATGAACTCTGATGAAATTCAATTCAATTCTGAATTGCCCATAGCTAGAGGGGAAAATCTCAATTCTGCTCTTGCACTTCCTGACTTGCTTCAGGCTGGGGAGGGCTTTAAAACAAACATAAGTGCACTGAATAAACATATAAAGGCACTTAATTGCATCCGAAGGAATCCTGAGTTAAAGGATTTAGCCATGAAAGTTGCTGCAGGAGACAGCAGCGAAAACGCAGACAATAAGGAAGTTGAAAAATTTGAAGAAAACTTTGCTGGAACTCCCCTGGGGTTGACCAAAGATGATAAACTGAAGAATGCTGCATGGTCTATATGTGTTCTCATGGGAACTATCAAGAACACTGTTGATTCAGTCACACAAATGAGAGAGGGAATCAAAGCAGAAATGGCAGTCAATATCAGAAGCAAGGCTAACCAGCTAGACAAGATACTGCAGAACCTGGAGAGGTTCTATGAAGAAATGAAAGCTGAGGACCACTCAGTCAAGCTAAAGTCTACATAAACTGGCATCTTGTGGTTTACAATGGCTGTCCAGATGTTCCCAGGAAATTGCTAGGCAGGAGTGAAGCAGTACCCCTGCTCTATTCTTCTTTAAGACTTAAAGGGTGATGAATATGTTTTATTTCTACAGAGAAGCATTTACTCAAGCAAAGACTGTCATGTTATTGATCTGTCTTGTAAATATCTCATTACCCCACCCCAATTTTAGTGTATATTCAGTAGTGTTTTTTCTCCTATCCTGATTCTTTGGGCATTTATGCCACTGTAACAGGGTGCCTCTTCTCTGAAGGAATCCTGGGAACTGTAGTTTTCAGAGGTGCTGATTTTTTTTGGCGGGGGAAGCATATTTTATATGCTTTTCTGGAGGAATGGTGGTTATTGGGAATAGAGTTAGGGTAGTGCATAGCATTAGTACAGTATTGTTTTAATGTATTTTGTATTTGATGTTGTAAGCCACCCCGAGGCCTTGGCAAGGGGCGGCATAGAAATGTTTTAATAAATAAATAAATAAAAATATACAGTATAGTGAACTTTCCCAGTGTCCAAAGCTCAGAATAGTTTCTCAAAGGCATGCCAAACCCTCATGGTCTTCAGCTTGTTAGCAAGAGCACCATAGATTATTGCCTTGAAGCTGCCTTCCTCAATCATTCTATAAATAAAGTCGGCCTTTGCACTGAGTACAGTACTGTGTGTCTTACTGAAACAGCTTCATTTCCAGGAAATGGAGGCAGGAGCCTCCATATATCTGGACAGACTCTGTTGTAGTAAGAGAAAGGAACTTTTTAAAATCTATGGTAAGAGACATTGTCTTTTGTTTTCTGTCTGTGGAGAAATTTATGCATTGCTTATTCAGGTGCCTTTGGAAGCCCACAGAGCATCCCCTGACCTATTCAGGGAACCAGTGCAGTCCCACAAAATAAAGTATAAACTTTCTTTTGTTTGCTTATGTTCTGCATCTATTTTTCATCATTGTATTCAATAAATGGTATATCATCTTTGATACAGGTGGTTTTGTTTCTTTCTAAGTGTCTTTAATCTGAACTGAGGTGCCTTGGTTGGACCAAGTCTTTGGGGTTGAAAACTGGCACATAGCAGAAATACTTTTAGTCCTGATAGCTAAGTCATTTGAAAAAAATGATGCTGGTGATTAAACATGCAGGCGAACACAAACTATGGAACTTGTTAGCCTAAGCTACTAAACTGGATGTATTAAAAAGGATTAGAGAAATTGGAAAGTAAAGCTATGTGTGTTTTCCTTGATGGTGTAACTTAGTGTCCTGCAATAGCAGGGGACTGGACCTGATGGCCTTCTGGCCCCTTCCAACTGTACTATTCTATGATTCTGTGCTGGTTGCATGCTACATGATTTGCCTAATTATCCTCATCCTCTGAACACAGTGGGAGCATGATAGGGGGTGGCTCTGAAATTACCCCAGAATCCTACAACAAACCATGGTTTCTGGTGTTTTTGAACTTGTCAGTGCTGTCTACCTTGTCTGGTTCATCTGTTGCAAAGGGCATTATCTTCATGGATCAAGACAGGGAAAAATGGTAGACAGAGTTGAATACCATGAAATGCAAAAAACAGACTGTGACCATTCACAGCAACAGTAATACCATCTTTCCAACATGAATATTGAATTTGAATAGCCCCTGGGATTGTAGCTCTAATGGAACAACAGCTGTGTTCTTCCTGCACCTTCCCCCACCCCAAATCAATAGGTAGCAGTAAACAGAGAAGTATTTTCTTTCGCGGATCTAATCTGAGGTGATTTAATTGAGATTTTGAACATTTAAATGTGCTACCCATCTACATGGGAGTTAACAGCACATGAGGACTGTGTACCCAATTAAGCCCTGGATGTGGCTACAAAGCATTGGTGGGACCGGGGCAGGGGTGGGGGGGATGCCTGACTGTTTGATTCACCTTTGCTGTCACCTGAGAGCTGTTTGGAGGAGGAAGATTTTGGTTGCACATTCAAGACATCTTTAGCCCCACTTCTGACCTACCATGTCGACAGCAGTATACACTGCAGGGTTGTTGTAAGCTTTTCATTCAGCCCGTCCCCCAATTTGTGACGTGCAATTGCACTGGAACTGAGATTCAATAGGGGAATCACTGGAACGTTTTAAAACCAAAGCAAAAAATCACAGCGGAGCCCAGGACGCGAGTTAGAAACGACTCTCTCTTTTGGTATATCTTGTTTGAGAAGGAGAAAGGAAGCACAGTCGTGGCTCTGCTTAAGCCCTCGACCTCGCTGTAGAATGCACTCTTTCAAATTGGAAGAGCTCGGGTCGTGGGCGGGAAACCGGAGTACCTTCTGCCCTTCACTTTCGCACGACGGGCTTTCGCTTTCGCTTTCGCCTTCGCCGCCTTCGCCTCCTGGTGGAAAGGAAGAGTGACGCCTAGAAAACTCAAGAAGACGATGGAGCTGTTTTCAGTCTCCGGGTGCCTGATCTTTTTACTGTGCCTTAATTTAGCCTTATTTTATCTGTATCTACTGAAGACCCGTTGCTCGACAAGCGGGAGCTCCGCGCAAGATGAAGGTAGGCGCCGAGCCCTCGACGTCGCGGAAGAGACTCGCCCCAGTCTCTGCGGAGGAGGCTGCTCAGACCGGGGCCGGACAGGGTAGGGCGCTGCTCACCGCCCCCAGTGGGGAAAGGGAGCAGGGAGCGGGGGGCCGGCAATGGGAGCAGCCCTGCCTTGGTGCGGACCGGGCCAGGGCCGTGTGTGCCCTTGGGACAGGCTCGTGGTGCTGCGACAGCCGGGCCTTGTGTCCAAAGGCCACCCCACCACCTGCAGCCCAAACCGAGCAACCAATGACCGTGGGGTGCAGGGTTAACAAAACTCGCGTTATTCCTGCGCTTCTTCGGGTGCGACGCCTTCAAGGAGTGTCAAACACAAAACTGCAGGCGCTCAGAGATTTCTTTTTCTAGCTTTCAATAAGTGTCGACAAATCCTTTCGTTTTCCTTCTAGCATACCAGGATTGTAGAAGTAGTTCACAAGCCTTAGAATACCAGTTGTGGGGTGGACAGGGACTGGATGAATCTTCCTTGTGTGCCTCACAAGTTGTCCTACCCATGACCGTCTCAAGTGCAAGGGACTTGAGGCAGCTTAAAGACTGGCACTTTTATTAGGGTTTAAGCTTTTATGGATTATACATGGGATAACAAGTCTGAAGCATTGTATTATCCTGGGTTACAGAGACGCGTTTGGGGAACATGGGACCTGGGTTGTAAAGCTATGAGGTCAGAGTGAAATGAATCCAGGAAATATAGACAGTTGGGGTGGTACCTTTGTATCAATGAGCTGATTGATGCACTCAGTATGGTTTAAGCACATACCCCCTTCTTGCTAGAAGGTCAGGAGACAGCATGGAAACACTTGAACTGCAGCTCACCTCTTTCATGCTAAAATCTGGTGGTGAAGCTCCTTTGTTCAAAAATGGCCACTTTCAGATCAGCAGTGGAATGTCCCAGAAGGCTGAAATTTTTTTAATAGTGTGATTTCAGATGCCAGATCAGTGTCCATTTATTATTTTGCATGGTGATCGAGCTGTTTGTCCTATGCAGAGTGCAGCAAAACAGCCCAGTCTCCACATGTTTGTGCCCAGTGGTCTGCAGACCACAGAAGCTCATGTCGTAGATGGTGTTTGGGCAAAATGGTGACTCACACTAGAGAACTGAGTATGGGTTGAGTGTGGGCTGTTGCTCAGTTGTGGGATGTTGTGTTGTCTGAACCCAGTCAAGATAATAAACCATGGTGAACAACCACTGTTCACAACCAAACAGCAAGCCACAGGTTCTCTTTGTGTGTTCATCATGGCTAACAAGCAGTGGCTTCTTAGCACAGCAGAATTCAGATAATATGATAATCCTCATTTCAACAGCAACCCATAATTCAAAAGCAACCCCCATACTTGAGTGGGGGTTATCATGACTGGCCCTTGTAGTCATAACCTGATACTCCAGCTTCTACACCACAATGGCTTCATTGAAAAGTGCTGCTCTTTAGGCCACATCCAGTAAAATACTTTTTTTTTTAAACAGATACAGAGGAAAACAATGCTGAAGTAAAAAATCTCTGCTTACTTTTTGCCCAATTTCTGAAGGAATTTCCTGGTCAGAGGCAAACAATTAAACAGTGCATCACATGCCTTCGGGAAATGGCAGACCAGGTTGACAAGATACATAAGAACTGTACCATCACCAGTCTTATTGGAAATGTTACATCTGCTTTATCTGAGGTCTTCAGAATGGGGTCACAATTCTTAGACTCTTCTTCAGCACGTGGATCTTTACACACTGCTATCGCTGGAATAAGTTTTGGGGTTTGTGGCACAGCTGTTGATGTAGGTGCTAATATATTTGAAAGTGTTTACAAAATGCAGAAAAAAGAAAAAACTGAAGACCTGTTGAAGGAGGGAACGAACTCCCTAAGAAAGCTGATAGGACCTAGTGAAATGAATTTCACTTCTGAATTGCCCTTAAGTACCTGGAGAATTGCATCGGATATTATCCCAACTATTTTTTCAGTTGGCACAACAATGTCCGCTGGGAAACGACTCCATACCCATATAAAAGCATTGAAGTGTGTCAAAGAAAAACCTGAGTTGCTAGATTTAGCCATGAAAGTTGCTGCTGGCCAGGGAGATAAAGAAGAGATCAAGAAAGTGTGGAGTAATTTTCAGGGAACTCTCCTTGCAAAAACCAAAAGTGAAAGAATGCAGGATGTAGCATGGTCCCTATGCACTATCCTAGGAAATATCAAGAAAATTGCTGAAGGTGTCATGGAATTGAGAGATGGTGCCGAGGATGAAATGGCAGCCAGAATCAGAGAAAAAGCTAATCAGCTGCAAAAAGAACTACAGAGACTGAATAAGCTTTATGAGTGGCTAAAAGAGCAGGGCATAACAGAATATGAGTCATGCCCACCCAAGCCTAAATTCATATAACCTTGCATTCTGTTCACCTCCAGGAAGTCAACCAGCCGGGCATGATGGCAATAGTCTCCATTCTGCTCTTGAGATGATTGAAACAAAAAAACCCAGTTCCAACCTGATATGTCATCCCCAGATTTTAATCAGAAACATTGAAATGGAGATGATAGTATCCTTAATTTGGGGATGGGCAACTTGTGTTCCTTCAGCTGTGTTGCTCTGTAACTCCCATCAGCCCTAATCATTGGTTCTGCTGGCTAGGACTGATGGAAGCTTTGGCTTTCTGGTTGTTTTGGACTACAAGTTGGCCACCCCTGCCTTAATCTGTAAGTTTTTCCTTTTATGAAAGGACTCCTGGAAATGGTGGAAATTCTGATTTCTTTTGAGTTGGGACACTGATCAATTGTCAATTTGATTGGTCAGTAGACTGCCCATTATTTAACTGTGCACAGATATGTTACTATACTGTCAATGTTGTCTGAAGAACTGTCCTGCCGCCTGTTTAGCAAAATTGCCTTTCAAGTTTGATTTTAAAAGTTTTACTTTTACAGTAATTGATAGATTCTGACCCTTCCCCCTTTTGTTTGCTTATAATAATGGTTGTTATTTTGGTTTATTTCTGCTTTAATTTCATAAGAATCTGTTTGACTGCATGGTTGAGCCTGATGTTCTAGGATAAAAACTGCAGGGTGACCCTGTTATTCTAGGAAAGGGTCCCCTAACATTTTGGACCTGTGGACATATTTGGGGGTTTGAGAAACTGCTGTGTGCACCTGCACAAAATGGCTCCCGTGAAGGATGTGACTATTCCCAGAATAGCCTGGCTAATCAAAAGGCAAGTAAATCTCTCATT